ATATATATATATATATATATATATATATATATATATATATATATATATATATACTATATATATATATATATATATATATATATATATATATATATAATATATATACACACACACACACACACACACACACACACACACTATAGTATATATATATATATATATATATATATATATATACTGAAATGTATATCTCGGCATTTTGATTTCGATAACAACATATCAGTTATTCAATATATACGCATAGGGACCACATACAGATTTGTACAGTAGGGACTTGGCTGTCCGCATTGATATAAAATGTTATCCTTGAGATGGAAGAACCCACAGTCAATATCAATCACTTTCGTCACTTCAGTACCATCAGCACAACCAGGTGCAGGTATGGCCACGGGTTGGCAATTCACCACAAGTGCTGTAGTAAACACTGCCGCTAGCGCAACGTGCATATTGTATAATTACATGCTAAGCTCATGCTATAGTCTGTTTGTGCGGAAGGCAGCTCAAAAGTATATATATATATATATTATAATCACACGTGTATTGAAATCTCTTGGCAAGTTTCGTTAAATATTTTAGCACTCAAAGTCACAATGCTCTACTTGCTTCAAGTCTCGACTCTCGACTCTCAACTCTCTCAGTCGCAAGCCTCACACAACTTCAGTACTTCACACGAACAAGAAGTCATTACATAGTCAGTGAAGTAACAACTCACAACTCCTCTCAACAAGAGAAAGAGCCCAAGCCCCAAGGCCCCAAGTTGGACCCTAACTCCAAGCCTTCATCGTGTCTCGAGGTCTCTTCAGTCTTCTCACAATATACTAAATATATAAATATATGGTGGCGGAAAACTGAAAATTGTCCCTCTCTCTCTACTCAGAGAGTCTTTACAGGCTACATCTACAGTTTACAACTCTACTCTCGCTTTTTTTTTGTCAATATTTCACAGCCTTCTAAAGATGGCCTATTTATAGAATAAGCGTAGAGAGCGAGATCCCTGATCCGAGAGGTCAAATCAAAATCTCCTGAATAAATCTCTCTCTCTCGCGGAGGACTCTGAGTCTCTTTTGTCACTCTCTCTACTACTAGTAGAGTCATAGTCGTCACTCGTCACTCGGCCGTCGGCACTGTCGGCAGTTATTCATATATATGCTACTATCTGACTATGAGTGTTAAATATTTCGTAAAAATATGTTTTTCAAAAAGAAAACTTATTTTTGATCAGCTACGGAGAACTGATAAACATTATATTTCTTTTTAAAAACAAAGTATACTCTCACTTGAATAGATTTAAAAAAAAAACTGATTAGTGATTTGTTATATGCTTATTAAAAAAAAACCCAAGAACTAAAAAGTCGCGTAGGAACTATAGATAATACAGTAGTATTTAGACAATATCCTGGAGTTAGCCGGTCTGTCGGACATGGATTATTTTTATTTGTTAAAAAAAACAATGTAAAAAAAAGAACAATATGTAATCATATCACTGATCTGGTATAATGGTATAAAATAAAAACATTAGTTTACTACATATATTACATTAAAATACATAAAATACGTATTATATTACGTGTTATATACATACAGTGGTGACAGTACGTATTATATTCATAGAGGTGTGTCAATTCTGGCGGGGTCACTGTCAGGAAAAAGATTTTTGACATCTTTTCTACCAGCTGTCCGAGAAAAGGGCGGTCTTAGCTTTACTTCATTTGAGTGGTTGTTGCCGAAATTAGTCCGTATGATTAGTGCGATGTTAAGTTTTATCTTATAGAATTATGATTGGTGTAGGTAACTGAAAAGTACGAATGTAGGAAATTGGTATAATACATATATAATACATGGGTTTTAAAACATGTTGGAAAGTATTTGAGGTATAATACGTATCCTACACGTATTAAATAAAAAATACATTGTAGTTTACCAGGTAAGCATCAGCAGGCTCAGTGTGAGTTGAGTGTTGACACTTAACTACTATGTAGTAAAGAGTAAATAGTAAGAGTATTAAATTTCATGTAACTTGTAAAATGTAAATGTAGAGAGAGACAACAAGACCAGAGTGAGTACATATGTAGGGAAACTGGAGGGAGAGTAATAAGCATCTACTCCCGTAGAGCAGGCGGGTTGGGCTTGTTGGCCACCTCTTGTTGCAAGTTGCAGTGGGCTGGCTGTGGACCTGTGTGCCCTGTACCCTGTGGTGCTTCCCCGCTATTCTACATAGTGACTACAACAAACATACACACAACAAACAGCACAACATACAAGAAGTAGTGAGTGTGTGGGACTGTGGTGGGGGGCCCGGGGGGGAAACTGCAGACTGGGGCCGGGTAGGGGGGGGGGGGAATGGGAATTAGTCGAGACTCTGGGACCTGGGTCAATTGATCATAAACCCTATTTTTGGTCTACTCTCTCGCGAGCTGCATCGCATCGCCGCGCCGCCGTACGTAGTGGGTCTCTCTCTCTCTCTCTCTCGTGTCCAGCTTTCACCCTCTTCTTTTGATTCCGACGAATAGCTATGAGGCAAAACAAACCGTTCGTTGTGCAAATAGGGGGCTAAAAAATGTATCATTTAGAAAGCCATAAAAACAACCGAAGTGAACTATGACAACTCGTCACATTCTCAATTCCTCCCCACCAAAACATTCGGGTCATTTTTTTGAGAATGTGACAAATGTCACATTCTCAGGCACTGGTGATATGCGCACCGTGAAAATGGTAAAGCCAATTTTGTTTATATATATTTTTAAAATATATGTACTATTAAAATAAATAATGAGTCCGGACTCCGGAGCTAACCTCAATAAGGTATAGGCATAGGAGATAAAAGTTTAAATAAAAACTAACTTATTACAAAATAAAAGTTAAAACTTTTATTTAGGACAAATTAAATATCAAATTTTGAAAATCTGCACTCAAAACGTTGTCCTATCGTTGTAAATTTTGGGCCATGAAATGAGTGATAGCCAATCAGAATTTAAAAGTGAGTGAACACGACTCCCAAGTGCTTATTATGAACACTTGCGATGCCTGCATATGCAAAATATATTTTACGCCTCGAACTGGTAATGCAACACCTGCATTTGTAGCCACTGTTATAGAGTCTAAGGTTGTTCACTGTATACGTAACGATTTTTTACACCCCAGAAGTATCAAACAATAACATAATGAAGTATTTTTTATGTATACATGTGCATGGTTGTACGTTATTATTAGTATATGATCATTCGATCTGTATATGTGTGTATTTGTTTTAGTATAATTATATCGATATGCAATGTGTTTATTTGCGATATATGTGTAGCGTGTGTGTTTATCTTTGCCCACTTGTCTCTATATTAGCTCATAAACATTTATATGACGTGTGCATGCATGAACTTTACTATAAATATATAATTATTCGATCTGTACATGTGTGTATTTTATTGTATTTCTTAGATATGTACTGTGCTTATATATAATATGTGTGTAACATGTGTGGTTCTCTTTGCTCTCCTGAAAATGCAATGGTTTGTTTTCGCCCTCTTATCTCTATATTAGCTCATATAATTTATATGTATACATGTGCATGCGTGAACTTCATTGTGAATATTTTATTATTTTATTTGTACATGTATATGTTATTATATTTCATCGATATATATATATAGTGTTTATTTGTGATATTTGTGTAGCGTGTGTGTTTCTCTTTGCTCTCTTAAATATTTATATGTATACATGTGCATGCATGAACCTATATATATATATATATACATAATTAACTAACTATCGGCTGCGTTCAGCCGTTCACAAATTCACGGTTCACGCAACTATTCAAATTCCTAAAAGTTTATTATTATTTCATAGCCTTCAAAATTGAACAAGAAGTTTTATTTATTTATTTGTGTTAAATATTTTTGTAGTACATACTGACAACTGACACTGTGGCGGGTGCATGCGCGCCAAAAAAAAAAAATGGACAAAATTCTGACACCGTCCTGACCTGAAAATAGCACCTGTCTATGTGCAGCCGGTACCAATTAATTAAAAAAGGTACAAATTAAACTTAAACCTATTGGAAAATAAAAGTTTTAACGTAAAACTTTTTAAGGTTAGCTCCGGAGTCTCCGGACCAGACCTCATTTTTATATATATTTCACGTTTTACGTTGCAACGTTCAAATTTTCCATGCCCATCTAGATTAGATCGGTGGATTTGGGTCTCAACTCTCCAGGCGCTATCAGAAATCAGGTTGGTTCGAGGATATCGTAAATTTATCGCAAATCCAGAGGGCCGTGAATTTTCAATTTCAGTAATTTTTGTTTGATGAAGTAGACGATTTTTTCTTCTTCATATGTTTGACGAAATAGAAACAAATACCGAACCTCCACAGGTCAACGTCAGAACCCAAATTTTCATTTTAAATATTTTAGCCTCTTCAAACATTCGGACCTAAATAACCAAAACGTAATTGTAAATACGTATTTATGTACATTAGAGTGTCTCCCCTCCCTCTGGTCTGTGTCGCTGAGACTCTGAGTCTCTGAGTCTCTGTGACTCTTTGGCACTGTGATTCGGGAGTTGATGCATTGATGACTCATAAATATCTATGACATGAATATAAAAATGATGATTTCAAACCATAGCTTTTCATTGGTAGCGATCGAAAAGGCAAATATTGAAAACGGCCTATGATATTTTGAAAGCAAAAAAGTTGGGCCTCAATAATGTCGAAATATGTATGTACCACCAGAGCGAGACCTAAACCCTTGACAACAGTGAATATTTGTCTCTTCATAGTATAGCTACGCATGCATTCAAAGCGACTTCTACACACAATTCTGTTTCTTCAAGTGTGTTACCAGTGCAAGCCGTCCAGAATGGTACATCAACCCTTACGGAGCGAGTCCTGTAGTGGCGATACGTCCTCCCCTAGTTCGGATTACGGTAGTATTGATTATTTCAGCACGGCACAAAACGTAACCCCAACTGCTGATGTAAGCAATGGAAAGAAAAAGTACACAGCTGCTCGGGCATCACGAGGTATGAATGACTCAAGGCACATATACGAACCCTTCTTATTGCATCGTACACAACCTTGTTCTGGTTATGTCGCTTTTGTTCCCAAACATCTTGGTCTCGTAATTATGCGTGCTCTTGAATATTCTCGTCCCATCACAATTCGGCACTTACAGTCGAAGTGCATGTAAAATTACAAAGCTGAAAGACAGGGTAACTATTTTTGACATAATTATTCAAAGCAGATTCTTCGCAAGATGATATAAATTCATCAACAGCATACAGGCCGGTGCATAGTAAAATTCCAAAGCTGAAAGACAGGGTAACTATTTTTGACATAATTATTCAAAGCAGATTCTTCGCAAGATGATATAAATTCATCAACAGCATACAGGCCGACGATAGAAAAGTCGGCGAAAGACAAAAGGTATATCAATATATCTGAAGATACGCAATCTTATTAA